CAATTTGGCTTGAAGCATCAGGGCTTTTATTTTTTTGTTTGTTTGCTTTGTTTGTTTGTTTTGTTTTGTTTTAATTTGGTAACAGATTGAAAATAAAAATCCAGTGACGTCATGCTTATGGTGCAGAATCAATGTGTTTATGCTGTACTGCTCCAGAGTAAATGAGATAAGGCTTTGACCTAAGCAGCTAAGAAAATGCACACAACACCCATTTGCAAAAAGCCTTCTGAAAAACTTTATATTATGGAACGACTCAATCTTTAGAAATCTGGGGCAAACAGTGCACAAACTCCTTAGTGCCAAAACATGTTTTTGTTAACAAATGTGTTTATTTCAGACACATTCATGAAATCTTATAGATGTAGCATGCTCTTTTTACAACTGTCTCATCATGCACCAATATTCACCTTTTGTTTGTTTGTTTGGGGTTTTCGTTTTGTTTATGGTTTGTTTGTTGTTTTTTAATGCATTTCAGTGATCCCCATCATCCCACCCACAAACTGGGCGCTTATAATGGAAATTCTGACCAGGCCTTCACTATGGTGGTGCTTGCAGGCACTGTCATGATAAATAATTTACTGTTTAATGGCTCTTGATGTAATCACAGCAAGAATGAGATTCACTACCATCCATCTCTCCATTGTTACCCAGGAGGAACAAGATGGTAAGGAAATACCACTCTTCTCTGAGCCCATCTTTTTAGCTCCCAACTCTAAAATGAGTGTTTAAATTGGTAAAGAGAGAGTTTACCACCACAATCCAACCTCTACATTTGTTTATGTTGGACAACACTTTTGTACTGGCTTGCATTACTCAGATGGATAAAACTCAGAAGGGTTCTGTTTTACTGCCCTGCTTTCTCTTAGTGTTTTTGCATTTTTTAAATGCTACCAAATGGCTGCTTTTGGCTCACAGCATTATCACATGTTGTCTATAAGTATGGAAACAGTTATGGTAATATGGACGTAAATCATAACTGCAAATACCACATAAAGAAGACTGCCATATAATTATAAAAATACCTAATAGATTTCTTTTTCAAAGACAACACAGCTGTCCTTTCTAACCTTTCATTTGCAGATTCTTTTCTCTCCTGTTTTTATTTATAGGTTGCCATGCAGTATGACACAGCACACCATGATTTTTGTTTCTAATTTTGAAAAGAAAAGGAAAAGAAAGAATACTCATTTCATCATAAAGAAGCATTAGTTTACAATTTTGAAAAGAAACTAACTCCAGCTCTAGAACATTGTCTTGGAACCAATCTCCCTCTTAATACATTTCAAAAGAATCTGTCAATGGCTACATACCACAATATAAAATTAAACCCTGCCATCAAACTAAAGAAGGGGTCGGCCAAGTGGCACACATCACGTGTTGGGAAAGAAGCCTCATTCTTTCTCTAAACATTTCAGTGTTTTTGTGAAAAGAACCACACTAAGTTATTATGCTGACCACAACAAAATAAGATTTTCATACCCTACTCATGGAAAAACAGGTTGAAAAGTGTTACGGGTAAACTTACACTATGCAACATTCTATGTCACTGAAAGGAGTAAAGGCTTACACAGCACTGATGTTGCCAAAAAGGCGTTTACATATTGCCTGAAAACTGTCACCATGCATTTTACCCCTTTCCAGTCAGCTTTGCAGTGCTTGAAGGCAAAGTAAATTTCAACTCTGCTTTATGCTGGACCCGCACGGTGCCTCATCCTACACAGACTTGTTCTACCTCTCCCCTGTTCCCTCAAAGTTACATAAGGAGCTGGATGGTCACAAAACAGAGGCTGCAGGCAATATTGCTCATGCCACATGAATGGAAGGCTGCTATCTTTGAATCTTTGCCTCAAAGCCTCTACCTATCACTAAGCAACTGCTTCAGAGATCTGCGCCTATGCCTTTCTGTACAGAAAACCCCACATTTTAACTGAAATAACAGCAAGCCTCTGGAGGGAATGAAGTTCATCTTAACCATCAGAAATGTGCAACTTTCTCTCCCTCAGTTTACAAAAAGAGTAATTATCACTTTACGTTTAAAAACGCATGGCTCTGAATGGGTATAGTACGTTCTGACTCCCTTTCAGAGAAACAACTAAAACAAATGAACTGCAAAATGCTGGTGGGAAGGATCAGTCTGGACCAGAGGTGTAGTATTCACTTATTGATACAGTTTATTAAAGCAGATGAAATGCTCAGATCCACACTGCATTTTTATCAGTCTACACTAACTGGCCTTTGTCCAAAAATGTATCATTTTATCAGATGTGTCACTCTGTTGGGAGGCTGCCATGACTATACTGGGTGACTGAATGTTAAAATAATTTCTCCAGGGGGAAGAGGCTGATCCCAAAGGTTTCCTAGTTCCAAGGGGGAGATCATTTTTCACCACCAGCTGGAGCCTGATGTCAGACATGCCCTTGCTTCATTTATTCTCCTCAGAGGTTGAAACTCAGCTCGTCCTTCTTGACTCCAATATTGTTTCACATTTGGGCACATAGCAGCTACTACACAGTGAACTATTAGAACAGGACAGCCCATGAAACATGGGAAAATAGTTTAGGGGAAGCAGTTTGACAGCAGGGTGCAGTAGTTTCTATTGTCCCCTTAGAACAGAGATAGGTAGGAACCTTCACTTTGTATTCATTAAGTAAACACAGCATTTTAGCCTAGTGTGCCAAAGAGATGCAAATACAAAAAAACCACCCCAAACAAACCAAAACCTATGCCACCAAAATCCCCCCAAAAACAACACAACAAATGTGCTTTTTCTGCACCATGTCTATTTTCCTGGCAGGACTATGAGAATGAAGGCCTGAACCCCTGAAAGAAGGTTAATGTGTACTGAAAAAACAAATAACCTGGATTACCTTGGAGTCTGGCATTTTATTTTACATTTGTAGTTTGGTCTGAGAACAAACAGGAAGCTGCAATGATTGACTCATCTTATGAAAACATCTCAACAGATTTTTATTCCTTTCTATGCATTTTTTGCAGAACAATAAGCAGAGAGAGAGAGAATTCACCAGTTTCCATATAATACTTAAAGAACTAAGTTGAACTCTTCAAACAAAATAGCAGCTAGGTCTTGCCCACACTAATGGTTTGAGCTTGCACTATATTTAGATCATGTCTAAATGAAGTTGAGGTGGCTACACCACTGGTTTGTTTTTTTTTTTTAATTTGCATGACTGTTGTTCTGAAAATATTGCTGTGAGTCCACGCTACAGACTTGTTACCACAAGCTTTCCATAGATATTTAACATGAGAAGGTGAAACCATGTGGCTTCATCATCTCTAAACATTTACATCAAGGCAGTATTGATGAAAATGATAACTCTTCGAATCAGCTAGAGTTCAGTTTTCTGGCAGGTTTAAGCTGTAAAGGCAGAACACAAGCAGGTCTATGCAACAGAGATCAGTCACTGCAGCACTCATGGCATACACTAGAATCTCCTGTAACATTCCTCTTCTTATACCAAGATCCCTCTGAAGTACTCCAAGTAAGGCTTTGAAATAAGGTTTACCAAATCCACAGCAGATTGTGCTAAAGCTGGACCAGTGCCAGACACACTAAAAACTTTCTCACCTCTCTTCTTCATAAATATGGAGCAGTCAGGAGACCATGAAAAACTGCTTCCAGAGGTATTTACAATACTAGCAGTATTTCTCACTCAAAGCACTCTAACTGATACCATAGATACTTTTATTGCTAAATTTTCAAATTTGTATTGTGGGTTTCTCTTAATATGCATATTCAAGAAATCTGAACGAACTAGTGGTGTGAATTTACAGGATATACAGAGGCTAGAGAGCAATTTATCTCTTTTGAAGTGAATTAAGGCAATCTGAATGAAAACCATTTTCACTTTAAACGACTCTGTCCACACAAGGGACCAATCCACTTCAAAAGTTAACTCAGATGACTTGTCCTTATCTGTGAAGCTGATTCTCTGGCACTGTCCAAGAAGGCTAAAAATTAAAGAAAATATGTTCTTTGACACGCAGTGTTACATATTTCCAATGTTGTCCTAGCAAAGATCATTAAAAATTAGGCAAGGGATTGTATTAATTTAATTTCAATTTCTGCTTTTTGGCAAGATGCACAGTTCTTAAGAATTAGGAGAATTTTCCTTCCTCGTTCCTTCTCAGCTCACTTCCCCAGAAAGAAGTGAAAGGAAAATTTGCATGAGAAATTTGAGTGAGACAAGGATACAAATAAGCAGTGGATAGGGTAAATTCAAATGGACTTTTGTCTCAGCTGCTACATCATACCACACACCAAAGCTACTGTGTTGCTACTGTCCACAGAAATCACCCTGTTCTAGGGGTAGGTAGCTTTTAGAGGTAGGTAAGAGAGCTGACCAAAACACTATTAGAGAAATAGAGCCTTAATTTTAAGCAAACTTCTTTTTTTGTTATCACTTGAGTAGGAAAAGCTTTTGAGGAAGTTTATATTAGGTCTAAAACAATAGAGCCTCACTGAGCTTTGGCCTCCAGGCATACTTCTAAGCAACTCTAATTAATGAGAAAGATGAACATATTCTTGGAGAGAAGACAGTGAGGGAGGGGCAGAATTGATGCAAAGATAATTGCACAGGGAAAAAAATGCAGTAAACATTAAAGAATCTCAAGATCCTTAACTGAGATATCAACTGCTGCTATTTACAAAGAACCTGATATTGGCCTTTCTGTTTAAGTCACTAATACTTGCCTGGCAAATACCTTGTTAGTTCACAGTACTTATATACAAAATGTGTGATTTGGCTTCAATATGAAAGCAGTTCCTTTTATACTCGAGAACCAAATCTGTATGGCAGGTAAATGGTTAACGCTGAACAACATGCACATGATACTTCATCAACTCCCTTACAAAAATTATATTATTCTTTATTATGGTGCCCTGTAATTCTAAAGTAAATCATGCCAAGATACTATCTTGCATGTCTGTAGATCAGATATCATGACTCAGGAAAAAAAAAAGCAAGCTTTCATGCACTTACCTTATCCTCTAGCCGGATCAGTCTGGCTCCTATACTATAGTATCCTTTGTCTACCCCTTTTTCTAAATAAAGAACAATAAAAATGGGACATCCATTAGGTGGAGAATAAATTCAGACTAAGAATTATATCTATGATATTTAAAGCAAAACAAGAAGCTGGTAATAGTAGGGTAGCATAAAAAACATGAACACAACAAGAAAGAATTTCTGATGGTGAATGGAAGTGAAAGAGAGTGGTTGAAGGGAATTAGTTTGTCTAACTGGCAAGATTAGGTTAGTCTAAAGGGCAACTTGGACACTGATAGAGGTAGTCTATGATCATGAATGATTAGAGATAGTGCCTGTGGTAACTTGTTTCCTTGTTTAATTATGTCAGCTAATTGCATGTAGTTAGATGGAATAGGCCTAGTACTGGACACACCTCCTGTTTTGGATATCATTGGCATGAGCAAGGTACACTTGCTATACATAAAGAAACCAGAATAGTTTTCAACTGAGGTTGCAGCTGTAGAAGACAGCACTATCCAGGGGTTCTATCTTTCTGTCTGTCTGTTTATCTATCTATCTATCTATCTATCTATCTATCTATCTATCTATCTATCTATCTATCTATCTATCCATCTATCTACCTATCTATCTATCTATCCATCTCCTCTTTGCAAATGAGTGACACTGGGAAAAGCCCTTGCATCTCTGACCTAATTTTCCCTCCTGCTCCTTATGAGACCTGACTATTAAAGCCAAGTTATGCATTTTGTTTCACTCTTGTGCTGCAAATGGTGGGACTGGGAGCCAAGATTAAAAACTGTGTAAAGTGGGGTCTATCCTTTCTGTTCTCATGGCCTACTGCAAAGGAATGCCATAGTTTGGGGGTGTTATTTCACAAGGAACGAAACACAAACCCACATATATCCTGAGTTGGGAGAAAATATTCACAAGAAAAAACCAATGCCCCAATACTAAAGTAACTTAGCCTATGTCAATGGAATTTGGATACATTTTTCTCTACTAAACTATACCTCCAGTAACGGCTAGGAGTAACTGATAGTTTCATAAATTACTTCATTTTTATGAGTCATTGAGCTTTGGCTTTTAAAGCTATTTAATTCAATTTTGTTCAGGGCGTGAGCACAATGTGAAGGGCTTGCTGGAAGACAGGCTGAGATACAAATTTACAGTGCCTCAGTGCCCACCATAACTGCCTGTATGTGTGCTCACTCTGCATAGAACTCACATTCTGGCATTTCTCAGTGAATGGTACTTGCTTTACCATTGCCATTAGCAGTGCATATGTTTGCTGGTGTGACATGTTTAGTGATGTATTTGCACGAAAGTTCACTTCAAGGTAACTTGTATTCTATGCACCCCAAACTTAGGGGAAATCTTTAGCAAAAAGCAATGCTGGCAAGAGTACTTTTTGTGCTTTCCTTCTCCTCTACAGACCACCTAAAATATTTAAAAGGTCATGGACCCTTGGCAGCTCTGTGCAAGATTAGAAAAGAGAAGTGTTTCATCAGAGAACCTGTAGGAACAAACACAATAAAGAGAGAAAATTCAAAGATTTTTCAAGGACACTGTGAGGGGACAGACAATAAATGACACAACTTGGCTTATACATGTGTGCTATTCATCATTCACAACCTCAGAAATCTCTTAAAATATAAGTGGCTGAGGCTCAAGTTTATCTGTATTCATCTCTGCCTAAAATGAAATAATTGATTCAGTAGTCTACTTTCTAGTTAGTAAATCCATAGACAAATCTTCCAAAGTAGATATCAGAAAAAAACATGCCTTCAAGGATTTCTAAATTGGGATGCGATTTGAACAGTAGTGGGTAGGTAGTGTTTTTGTTTGGGTCTAAGCCCAAAAAGTCCCCCAAACATGAAGAAATATTTCAAAAAGCATGGTGGTTTTTTTTTTTTATATAATAATAAAATAAAATAATAATTTCCTCACCAGCACTAATTACATCCATCAGATAATCCCTAAGACATCACAAACCAAGCAAATCAAGTTAATAATGTTTCCTATTTTAGTTATTCTCAAATGTTGTGTAGAACAGAAAACAAGAAAATAGGAAGCAGATAAGCAGTTAGAAGCTGTTTTGTGGCATGTGGCACTCCCATCAGATGAAGTGAAAAGAATGATACACATGCACGTAGCTGTATCTCGTCCACCCCTTTCCCAACTTCTTATTAGCCTCCACACAAAACAGCATTCAGCTCTAATTTACAAGCATTTTCTTCTAATAAGGACCATCCTTTAAAGTAAGTGTGTTGTGTGCACAATGTGCTCAACGTTGTTGTTGGAAGGGTGAGCAGAAGTTCAGATAACGTTGCTCCAGTACATTTGATTTCTATCTCATGTTTATGTTTTCTCTCTTGAGTCTTTTCAAGATATATAATTTTCAAGATATATAATTTTAGACTTCCTATATTAGATTATTTGCTTTTACACAGTTGAAAAAATTGCAGGGCTAACTATAAATCTGAAATATCCCAATTTCTACAGTCTTTGCTTGGCAAACGAAAATAACTTTCTTTTAGTATTGACTTTTTTTTTGTTCTTCTTGTTGGGCTTCAGAAAACAGATAGATCAGCTAAGCAATCCAGTAATACATATGGGAAAGGCACAAAACACAAGACTACATTTGCATGATCTTAATGGAAGGAAGCACAATTATTTACAACTGGATGAAAATACATATGGGCAAGTTTTAGCTCAGAAATAAAAAAGAAATATCTTCCAACAAGCTCATGTAACATAGTTGGTATGATACTAACCCATCATTTTATATACTTAGTTTTGAATCAGAGAAAACACAGGTATATAAGCACTAGGCTTTATAGTTCGGGAGACTGAATACTTGTTGGAATCTAGTCCATTTCTCATCTTTATTAACATAGAAATTTCTTCCCTGAAAGCCTTTGCCTTCCTGAATACACATGCTATTCTACTTTCAAAACAACACAAACCTGTATTCATTTTCTAATATTTTCATAAATCTGGCCCATCTCCTTTCCTAGTGAAGAACAAGAGAAGCCTCTTGTAAAAAAAAAAGAAAAAGTTAAAAATTTTAGGTATGCTCCATGGCAGTTCAGCAGGTGGGGACTCTTTCCCCAGATGGAACCATGTGATATAAATAACATGTAATGATATAAGTAGGAGGAAGAAAGCAAATAAAATGAGGGACTGCACCATATTCTTAATTTTTAACACAATTAGTGTCCTCCATCTCATCAGACTATACAAAAAAAATCCCAACCAACTTTAAATAAAACAAATTTTTTTCCTTTGGTTAGAAAAAATAATTACAGGGAGCATTAGGACAATGGATGAATTGCAGACAGATGGTCTGAAAATTATTAAAGCTGGAAATGACTGCTTGGACAGAATAAGAGTCCTTCCTTGATTTTTACTTTCACGGTGTACACAGATAGAAGGGAGCTAACTGAAAAATATTACAATTTATTTGAAAACAGTTGATTTCTTTTAAGCAGAAAATGAGGAATATGAGCATTGTGACACCAAGGATATTCCAGACTGCTAAAGATAAGTCAAAACCTTGTAAATTCTATTTTAGAAAGCAGAACAGCCAAAGAGACACCATGACTTCTTTTGGCTAACAATGCAAATACAGCTTTCTGGATCTGGGTTTGTTCCAGTTCTGCAAAAGTTCCACGCAGGGATAACTGTGATGAGCTTATGGCAAGTTCCAGATTCTTAGGTTTGTAAACTGAGAGTGCTTCTGAAAATGGAAGTCAGGACTGTTCTTTTAAGCCACAGATCCATAAAAAAGCAAATAACAAAGTTGCCTTAGGCATCATGACTTTTGGTTTGAGTCTCTTTTCTTGTCAGCCAGAGCCTTTCAGAACTGATCAGCAGAAGAAATTGAAAAAAGGTAAAACATAGTCCTGGATCAGGCACTTGTGTTTTCCTTTGGACAGCCTAAAAAGTAAACTACTGAACACAGAAACTACTGCAATACGGAAACTTTGCCATAGAGTTAACTGTTCCATGATGAAGGTTAAGCACTGGGAGTAGAAATTTCTAGCTTTTTCAAGTAGCAAAAATCTAGCTGCAGCGAGTACTTTGCCTGGTTAAAGACATGCAATCACCTCTCAACAAATAAGACAGCCCTTAACAAAAAGGTCTGTCAGTCTACCTGCTCCACTTATCCAGCCTCTGAGATGACACAATTTGCTTAAGTGACTCACAAGGAACAATAAAATCAACTTATTAGAGACAAGCTTTGTTCACTGCATTTGTTAAAGAACTATATCACACTTCTGCCCTTCCTCCCGAAGATGCTGATGGCAGGATTTAGACACACTATCATTACACTATGTATAAAACAATTAATACACCAATTTAAAAATTAAATGCAAGCTTCTTTTTTAAGTCTTTATTAAGAATGCAGTTCAAGGCTGTTCAGAGGACCTAAATGTGCAGTAAATTAGCTGCAAATTCCAAACCCTCAGAATAGGATATAAGTGATATTTCTGCTGGCTCTTTGTATTGAGGTAGATCAACTCCAGCAATGAAATGAACTTCCAGAAACAAGATTGTGAACACCTGACAGCTACAGCAAATATCCTATGTGGTTTCTGGTTTTGACCAAGTTCCCATTGATTTTGTCTCCAGGAGGAGTGGAATAAATCAGTTCTTGCAGAAATATGAGTATCTCTTATTTCAAATATTAATTGACTCAAAAAGATAAAAATTAAACTAAGCATATTTATTATGTTTTAAAAGATACTATGACCCAATTTCTTCTTAACAGATGGGAAGGAAAAACTATCAGAAAGCTTAGGTGGCATTTCATGGGAAAAAAAGCAAACAATGGAACTGTCAAAATTTTACAAGGAAGCTCTTTCCTCCAGGGATTCCCACCAGTGTTATGCAGACCCAAGAGGTTCAGATGAACTGCAGATAAATATCAGCTTTTTGTGTACTTTTCTGAATCCAAAGAATGGACCTTTTGTTTTACCTTGGCATTATTCTTCACCTTTGCCCCTGAAAAGCTATAGTAAGTCTCAAAAATTGCAATCAGAAGCAGTTAACTCCATTATGTGTAGTGAAGGTCAAGTATTATGCTCTTTTTATTTGTATCATTATATAAGTGTCTACTTTGTTAATTCAATAATTTTATTAATATGTGCTTTGCCTCTATATCAACACTTTCAAATTATTAACATGTATATTATCACAAGAATGTGTGTCATCTTACAAAATTGTGTCACCTGGGAACACTGGGACAGGCTTTCCATGAAAATAAGACACAGTCTTCTGGGTATGCCCATAACAATGGGATTCAGGTCTTCGGAAAATTTTTCCATTATCTTAACGTTTTTTAAATCCACTCCTGATAGTAGGAGTTTCAAAGAAAACTACTAGGTACCAGGAGCAAAACAAGCAAAAAGGTAGAATTTCTCACCATACATGTATGTAAAACTTAAATCATTTTTTTGTAATCATTTTGTAAAAATTCTTTTTACAAAATATCTCATGTTAAACGTTTATAGGGGTCTCTAGGAAAGTGTGTTGAGAACACACTATTTTGTACTACTGTATGCACTGAAACCATGTCAGGAAGTCTCTGATCTGCAAATGGCTGAAAGCTTACAGGAAGCTTAGAGGCTTATGCATAGCTTTTTTTTACACATTTCCCAAAGAACCTTGCTTTTGGCTCCATCAGAGTCAGGACTGGTCTGACCCAGCATGGCTTTTATTCTGTTCTTGTATCCTTATCTTGTTTTAACACAGCTTTTAGTGCTTTTTATCTTTGAGAAACTAACTTGAAAAATAACAATAATTGCTTCCAGTGAATTCAGATTCTGGATCTTTTATGACATCATTCACTTTTGAAAGGTAATAATACTATAGACACACTGCAATTACTTTATATTATCAAAGTTGACAACAGGGTTTCAACAACAGCCTGATCCAAAACCCACTGAGGTCACTGGAAAGACTCCCATTTATTTCAACAGGCTTGGAATCAGACCTTAAGATTCTTTGAATGGGAGTATAATAAAACAGGGGGAAAAAAAAGAGCTCAAAAGGAAAATTCTTCTCATGTTTTTCTCCTTGGCAGTTTAATTTTGTTTGCATTGTCATTTCTCTTTTGCTTGCCATCAATACAAAAATAACATAGTCTGGCGGAAACACCCATAATTGTTACAAATGAGGTTTTTAGCAATGCCTGGAAAAGTGTAAGTATCATATTGAAAATACATCTTCAGTGTAGAATTAGCCATGAATTCTGAGGAAAACTCAGAAAGAACTCCTTTGCCAGAGGAGAAGGGCAATGCAAGAGGTCTGTTTTCACCCCAAACAGACAAATACTGTAACCACTCATCACTGTTCGTCACTTGGATAATACTGGCAGTAAGGGCAGGTTGGATAACACTGGGAGTAATTGTAACTCCAGATTTAGTTCTGCAGACCATTTATCTGGAACCACTTATCTTATTTTTGGATTTGTGGAGGCTCTAGATAAAATAACTACTACATCAATTAACTTTTGGTTTTGGTCTTGCAAACCCATAACTGAACAGCTTTTGCATCCCTTACAACCATTTTACCTTTCCCAGTCAGCATTTATTCAGTCCATTTAAGGCATGCTGTGGAGGCAGACATCATTCGTAGCAGGGCCACCATGCTTGTGCATCTAAAAGAGCTGTCTCAAAGGAGCTATTCAACAGTAATGCTGCAAGAAAAGACTTAACAAGGGAAAGTAGTTGTATGAACACGGATGCCATAATCTCCTCCAGAGCACAGATTATGGTTTTCCCAAATAACTCAGAAGTCTTGTGATACTTCCCACAGTAAGGCTTCCCATCATGAATTCTGAAGATGAGCCTAGCTCAACATTTTTCTCATAGTAAATCAAAGGAAGAGTTTTCAATAAAAAGTTATAATGAACCATAAAAAAATGTGTGACAGATTTTGACTTTAATCATCTGGGGCTGTATTTACAGGCTATCTCTGCAGGAAGCTGCTGTGTAACTTCAGGTCTACAGGTGGATCATGCATGAATCAATCATGGGCACAACCCCATGGCTCTTCCTCGGTACTTTAGACTCTTTTCAACACTTGAATACTTGTTCAAATCCACAGACCTACCTAAGACCCTCCCAGTGGTTACCATGACCATTTTGACTCAAGATTTGGTGACAGTAAACTTCCTGAACATCTTCAGCTTCTTAAACCTCTCAGAACATTATTTTACAATTAGCTTCTTTGCAGCCAACACTTCTAATTCTTCCTCTCCTCTGAAACAAGACACTGTTTCATAAAAAGTGTTTCTAACACTAGCCTTTTTGAGAACAAATTGCAGTTCTAATTTGGTAATGCTACCTTTGAAATCAAATAATACATTCTTGGAGGTAAGGGAAGTTTTTCCATAATTTTAGCTTGAACATTGCAGAATGAATTCCCAAGTATAAATATTTATAGAAGTATTCGAGCTGACAGATTATTTTCCTGTGGTCCAAAACCAGCACAGCTACAGGGAAAGGAGATCATACTACTGAGTCTTCTGCTGCAGTCAGATGTTGAAAAGGTGTTTTGAGATATATTCCTTGTTCTGATAATATGTAATTTTTTAAAGACTCTGAAATAACTTTGCCACCCTCAATTACACTTATGGCTGTGAGTGCTGAAAGTCACTTGGGGATATGGGGCTTCAGTTCCTAAGCCACTTTTGAACTTTTAGGGACAGAGAACGAGACAGGGCCCCTGAAATTTGAAGTCAACTTCTTTTGGAAAAAAATAAACACTTCTTTCAGTTTTCCCCATCAAGCATTCAGGTTTCTGATCTCCATGATTCCCACCACAAGATTTTCCCAGAATATCACTGCTGTGCATGGCCATTACATTCAGTTGCATTTGCCTACAATTAACTAGCAAACCAGGCCTTTCTTTTTCTTAGACATGCCAAAGTTCACCAACATGATCATGTATGAGATTTTTTTTATTGGTTTCCCTGTGCCTGACCTTGCATTTTTTATGACGAATTTCATACCACTTCTATCACTCTAGCTTTCAAATTTACCCCAGTTCTTCCTGAGTGAGACCCACGATCTTCCTTTGAGCTTTCCAGAACAGAAATCTATAGGTCATTCAAAAAGGAAAAAAACCTTTTTAAGTGGAATCAACATATATTCTAATCCCAGCATGAAAGATTTAGAAAGTATATTTTTGTGGAAGAATTTCCTGTGATATATTTCCAACTCATCGTGCACTGATAAACATTCTAACATTTATTCTTACTTTCCATTTGCTCCACTACCACCTAATGCAACATATTTATCTTTACATAGGCATTCCAAAGCTTATTAACAGAATTATATTAATGCACAGTTAGCTGGATTATAAATCTGAAGCCAATGGTATTTTCACAAACTTATGAAGCTAATAATTTTACATAAAATGCAGTCACTATACCTGGGAGGAAAAGACCTGGCTTTCCCAAGGATTGGTCCAACCTGAAAAGCAAACAGAGAATTACCAGCAGTGCAATTACCAAGCAACTTAAACTCTGTTGCTAGAAAAAGCATGGGAGCATAATTTACATGAGAATTTACAGTAGCTTTAAACCTAAACCAAAACAAGTAAAAACACGAGACTAGCATGACTTTCTGTATATACAGTCAGCAGTTTAGTTCTTTAGAGTTTTTTCTCCAAAATCAAACCATATTATTATTGTTATTTTCTTGAGTACTAATATTTCTTAGACTTTCAAGTTGTAACTAAAACATAGTTCTCTTGTGTCTTATATAATCTAATAACAAAGACTATACAAACAGAATAGCTTCTTAATAACATTTGCAACTATTCCTTGAATCTCATACAGGCAGATTTAACATCTATATATGTTGACACAGTAGATTCCGTTCAACAGGATTTTTTTTTTTCTTTCATTTAATTTAAGGGTCAGAGAAGTTCATTCTGGTGTCCCAGTCCACAGTGTTAATTCGTAAAGAGAAAAGCACTTTGTGCTGAAACAGAAGGGAATAGTTTTGTGGCAAAATATTTCAGCTGCAAATCTGAAACTCAGAGAAAGGACATGCATGGAGGAATGTAGGAAGGGAAAAGTTCCAGATAGAGAGGGAAACACAAGTGAACCAGATTTCTCTCAATTGTGGAGAACCAGAGAGTGGGAACAGAAAGACAAATCATTATTTGAAGAGTTTTCCTTTTCTAAGGAGAGGACAGAAAAACTTGCTTCATACTATAAACTTCACAGCATGCACCTTCGTTTCTTTTAATTTCACTTGGAGACAGAGGAGAGGAGAATAAAGGACAATTGTAAGCCTGGTCATAAAAAGGGTTAAAAATGACTCCAAGCTAAATCCTCTAGATATTGTGCTCCCCGCTGTGCTTGCAATTTCAGACAATTACTGTTCATTAAGTACGCATCTCTCCTAAAGCCAGCTGGCACTAGAGAAATCAAATATTTCATGAGGTAGACAGGGACTACCTTCTTTGAAGTTCTTTTATCCGAACCATCATATTGAGGTGTCCTTGTGAGTACTGTTCGATCACGTCGCGGACGTCGTAAGGTTTCCGAGCTTGCTGTGAAAAGAGTCAAGAGATTGAAAGGTAAGTATTGTTTAAACTTGATTTTTATTTCAGATGGGCCTTCATTCTATTTTTTTTATCTTCCAGAGGTTATTTGCTTGCCATTTTGCAACAGTTGTTGTAATGAATAAAAAATATGTAGCTGTTGTAGGAGTGCATATTTACTGTGGAGATGGAGCCAAATGATTCCCATTACTGTCAGTTAGAGTCATGTCTTCATGTTACTTCATACTGAGCAAAATATTAGACCTTCACAGTGTATTTGAAAAACACAAACCCAAGATATATAATTATCTAAGACTATCATGTGCGGTATCTCTTGGCTCATTCCAAAACCATATGATAATCATAATGTCAGAGGACTGAACCACAGGAACAGGCCCAATTCATAACATTTGGACCCAGAATCACATGTCTCTAGAGACTAAAGATGTCTGGTGACAGAAATATTGCTGTTTAAGGAACTGGGAAGACAGATGCTTTGCATAAGTCAGAAGACTGCTGCATGTGGATTTTGTTTGCGCTTCTTTGTCTTTCATGATACCTACGAAGTCAGAAAAAAAAGTGCAATTCAAATAAAAAAGGACAGATAAAAAATGCAAGAGAGTGAAAAAACTGCCATCTGCCCAGCTTTATTCCCATTCTAATGAGAATCCAGATGCTTCTGCCAAGCTTTGGTTTCTTGCTGCAACTACTATGGCAGAATTTTGAAACAAGTCTAGAGAATTTGCATAAAGTGATGTGATTATAAAAAGTGCAGCATGCTAAAATTTTAGCAAGTAAAATCAATGTGTGTGTGGTGGAATAAACACAAATTATGTCTTTTTGAAAATTTCAACATTTTGAGAGCCATACCAACCCCTATGGGAAATGTGGGGCAAGATGTCTTCCCTTTGGCTCTGACTCAAGAAAAGAAGAAAAAAAAAAAAGCAAAGGTAAACTGCAAATCTAGTAATTGGAAATTAGTGAAAACAGCTCATTAGTCATCTTGTTGTCTGTTTCCACTCTGTCACAGCTTCAGCCAGAGCCATTAGCATGCACCACTGCACACATGCATTGAACACCTACAGTATGTGCTGGAGTCATGCTTGGAAGGCAGCCACAGGATCCTAGAAATTTCAAACGAAAGCATGGAACTGGAATGGAAACAAATCCTGTGAAATGAATGAAGAAGGAGAAGCTCTTCATAACAAAATGCCTTCCTTGCACTCAGCACTTACCTGCATTATTACTTTCAGAAGAGTTCGTGGCTTTGGTAGTGTGTGTGTGCGCACATTTGTGTGCATTTGTGAGAGGAGATACTTCGCGGGGGGAGGGAGGTTTCAGCTTTCAGTTTATCGCCTTTTTTTTTTTTTTCGCTTCCCCAGCTTCACATTTTGCAGACGCTGACACATCACTATTTCTGGCCAGAAAAGCAGCCTATTGTCTTCACCCCGAGAAACAGTGCCAGTATCACTCTTCAGATTGACTAGTGGAGGTGCTTTGAGAGCCTTTTGGCTAAATTCTCTGTCCTTTCCTTTGGACACTCTCTATTTAAACACGATGCATGGCACAGAGCCTAGATGTGCTGGGGATTTTTGCACTCCCCTCTCCCCCATGGGCTACTATGAGCATAATTAATTCTACTCAATTGTAATGAAATTTCTCTCCCAAAAGAAGTCCTCTATCTGTTATCCCTTTTACCAAATCATCAGCTCTGAATTGTACAGTTGCAAAGTACTGTACAATGCAATCTGTCTGAGTCCTCTCTAAAGCTTTGTAAAAATATCCTTCCAGCTTTCACCATTTGTATCTCCTCTTTTCCTATAAAGCTTTAGATCTGAGCATCTAAGGTCCTGCCAAACTTTGGCCCAATCTCTTGTTATGTTTTTATTAGAAAATGCTAGTACAATACAACTTAAGCCAGGAGGCAATTGCCTTCCAGGGAAGTGTGGTAAATGCAGAACTTGAGCAACTCCTTTAACTTCCATTCTGCCCATAATCCCAAATCCTGGCCATTTGAGCTCAGTAGTCCACATTCAGTGTGCTTAGAGCTCCTAATGCAAAACTCTAAATAATATTACCCAGCTTTGAACTTCCAAAATCTAATTAGCATAGGGAGTCCTATAAACTGTATTTCATGGCCCCAAGAAAGAAACAGAAGATCATTCCTTCATCTTCTTTTTCCCTGTCACTAACACCAACTCACAGAATTCTCTCCATGGACTGATCAAGTTCATTTTGTGAAGTCCGGCAGGACCGCTGTTGGCTGACAGCCCCAGAACATTAGGTCTCTGGTGGTTTGAAATATACTAATTTTTAACCTAAATAATTTATAAACTGATTTTATTTTCGAGAAATGGTGTCTTTATTTTTTTTTATTTATTTATTTTTAATTTCCCATACTGTTTATCTCTCTGGTATATTTACAATATAATCCTGTTCTCCTGGTTTTTTTCCGAGTTAAATAAACTGATTTCCCCTAGTCTTCTTTCAAAAGGTAGGGTCATCTGAACATACGTCTGCATGAGTTTGGGAAATGTATATGCTATTCTGTCTGCCATAATTCAGAGTCTTCTGAGTGCTGTGAGCTTATCTCAGACTTTTATCCCTTGCAATTAAGTGCTCAGCTCTAATCAAACTTCCCTGAAATGTAGGTTCTTGATTTATGCTTTTAAAACCTCTTCAAAAGGATTATGAAAGTTCATTAGCTTGCAGTGGATCCTCTCAGACAAAAAAAGCAAGAATCTTAAATGGAAACAACAGGGGCTTTGAAAATCAGTCCAGAAGTTAATTTTTCATTTCCATGGCATTTCCAGCACATGGGTGGTGAGAACAATCATATCAGAATCCCAGTCCAAAAAAGTTTTATCATAAGAAGCCTCAGTAAACAGGCAAAATATAACAGTATTTCCAATGCAGTACATTTAGTCTGAGAACATTGTAACCTGAACGAGAAAATTAACTTAACCCTCCATAAAGATGGCAAATTCCCAGAGGGCCAATGCTCCCCAGTTTTACAAAATACGGCCTATGATGTCCTTTTCTGGGAAACCAATTTGGAAATGTGGGTCACAAATGTGAAAGCAACTTTACACAGCATAGTACTCATCAGTGAGGCCTATTGATCTGTCAGCCATCCACAGCACACAACTGAGCATCCTCTAACCAGTCATTATGATCAGCGTGGATCAGTGTGCACAGTAACACTGTTCTTGCAGACACTCCAGCAGAGTGTTTTCTTCACTTCTTCTAGTAGAAGGTTAAGTATTGGTCAGTGTAGTAAAACGAACAGAACACCAAGAAACAAATGCAGCAAGAAAAGAGAAGTGAAAAATAACCACACTGACTCCACAAATGCAGGTTTTTGTATCATGCTATACCCATGGATAGTTGACGGTTTTGCCCACACCATGAAAAAATCCGCGTAAGGTAAGTATGAGGCCAAGAACCTAAAGAATGCCTTTGACTTATTAGTGCTGCATGCACAAAGACTTTGAGAGCACTCTGAGAGCACTTTCTATGTCATATATTTAAGCTTACAGCAATTGTATTTATGATTAATCATGCTGCTTACCTGAAATTTTCTTCTGGCTACAAAATACTGCATTCTCCTGATGACTTTTACAGCTGTTCGATGTGCTTCAGTTAATCTGCCAAGAAAGACAAACACAGACATACATCAGTTGGTGTGGGGGGAGGAAGCAGGAAAAATGGAAGTAGTCTTAATGGAAGATGTTGCCTCTAAGCACCAAAATCTACAAATATGTTTTATGTCTACAATGCAAAGCTGTAGCATAGCACACTGTGTGTGCATATATACTTTGTTCTGCTGCTTTGCCTTCTTGTGTATTGTGGTTCTAAGTGTTAAGGACTGATAAGTGAGACAATGAAAGCAGGTGTACAAAGATAATACATGTGGAAGGGATTAGACAGGATTACTGTCAATGAGTACAACTGGCATCAGTTTGAAGAATGTGAAATGTATTTAGAACCATGACTGCTTTCCTCATTTTGCATTTAGTGTTTGCCCACGAGCTCTACTGCGCAGAAATTAAGTCCTTTAAAAAGGACTTCGACCTCTCTAGGAAGGAAAGAAAAACTGAAGTGTCACATCTTAAAAAAAAATAAAATGAACACAACACTCTCTCTTGGCACACGTGCGCGTGTCTGTGCATGTGGTTGTCTGTACTGGTATTCAAACACAGAACCGGACATAATATAACTTAGCTGTATCACTTCACCCAGAGGATACTGCACTTGCAGAACATTAATTGAGACACTTGGCTGGCAATTAATTACTACAACCTCTTATTTATGGTGAATTTTGAAAGGGTAGAGAGAAAGCAGGAATGTGGTAACTGTAAGTAGAAGTATTTTCTTAAAGTACTGATTCCTTCCCCATGGACTTCTTTATTCACACCAAGTGAGTAAACTAAGGAAAAATTTTCTTTCCAAGGATGCTGCATCGTTAGGAAATCTACACTCTGTATGGACATCATCTTTGACATGTGATGATAACCCAAGGAAAGCTATCCAGCAAATTTCTTGAGTCTCCTGAAGGCACAGTCTGCTGCCTCTTCCCAGTCTATCTGGCTGGGGAAAAGGAAGTATTAGCTAGGCCACCTACTTGGGTGCCACAGTTTAGAGATAAAGTTTTTAAGAAGTAGAACAATTACAGTGTATTATTTCAAAGTGAAGCAAATAAAAACTAAACAAGCAGGGATTGTATTTAAGAATAAGCATAGTTTTTCATTTTATAATTATTCTTCGGTAAAATTAGTGCATCTGACTGGGTGAGATACCAGAGCCTCAGGAACGTTTTTTTAAATAAGCTTTCAGGGGCTTTTTCTGACTCTTTCTATGTCAACCCCAGATTAATATTGGATACATGCACAGATAGGTGTGAAACTCAGGTGTCTGTACTACATTTATCCTCACATTTCATTTATCTGTGTATAGTCATGCACATATCCATATAAATACACTCACACATGCAAACACACAGAAGACAGTGCAGGGTGAGCATGACTACCTTTGTTGTATATCATCAACAGCATTGCAAAGAACAAATCTTTGCATTCGTGTAAACCTATCAAAGGGATTGGAGTTTACCCTACAAGACCTTCATTATGGTGAAAAAAAGCTCTCAGCTTGGCATTCAGGGCCCCAGCTGAGCTCCTGTGGCCAGTGGCTAAAATGGAGATGACATTTTACTTGCAAATGGCAAGTAAATGGCACATCCTTAATATCAGAGAAATCTTTGTCAGCCCCTACAATTATTATTATTTTTTTTTTAATAACTAGAAAAGAATCACAACTTACGGTTTGGGGTTTAGCCTACCTCCCCTGTGTACGAGTTAAGATAAAAGCTTAAAATTATTCCCTAGCAATAAATAATTTCTTTATAAATTATGTGAAACTTCATATATATACTTGAGAGGTTTTTTTTATTAGGCTTATCCATATGAGGTGGTTCATGCACTGTTTAACAGACTTAAATAGAAAAGCTTAAAGAAGTCAGAGATGGAAACGAACCAAGGCAGTCATTTCCTCCTAATTACCCTCCCTCAGCAGAAATCAGGGCTACAGAACTTTTTCCACTGTGTTATCAAATTTAAATGTTCAAAACCATGAGACTAAGTCTTGGAACTTGATGCACAGTTGAAAAGGCTGCATTTTTAGAGAGAAAAGCTATTTATTTGTGAAATACAGCTAAGGTCACCCAACTACAATTCAAAAGCACTTGATATTGGCATGTTCCAACTGGCAAAATTCACACTAATCTCACTGGGAGCAAATTCTGAAAAAGAAGTGACTGTTGAGATTTGATGGTCACTAGTATTACACTGAGAGACAGAAATACCTGAAATCTGACTTTAATGGAAAAATAGCATGAAAAGGTACAAATCCATAGACTGAGAGTGGCTGTGTTATCTTAATTGCCTCAATAAATCCACAAGGAGCATAGCAGCTCTAGGTGACAGGGAGGAGCTCTAGATGAGGTAAGCACCCTGCTCTGTATAGCAAGCAGAACTATCCTCCTTACAGGGAGTTGGGGCAGCATAGCTGATCCTAGACATTTTTTGAGATTTTAGCTGATTTTCACAGGTTTCCTGTCACTGATGTCCATAGTGGACAGTTACAACTATTACTGACTAGGTTGCATTATCCCTGCATTTAGCCCAATGCATTTACCCTGCTAAACCTTTTATTTTATCCCAAAACACTGGATTAGGGAAAACCCTTTCACCCTTAAGGGTGTCAGTCTGTTACATGCCAGAAGCACAAAACTGGAGAGAACAAAAGGGCAGAGATGCTTTAGGTCATGCCTTAGTAATGCTCATTAGGATCACAACACCACTTGCAGTGAATCTCCCAGATATTTTGAGATGTGCAACTCATGAAACCACAACACAAGGGGGTGAGCCCCATGCTTGGACACTCTTTCCATGTGGCATTTTCTACCAACATAAGACAGAAAGGGACAGATCTTTACGGGTATTATGTTTCCTAACTCCCACGGGGGTGAAGATTTAACTACTTTCACAGCTCTAGCTCCCCCATGAAGTCAGTAGGGGCCCGAGCACTTGCCCTAATTAGGAATATGGGCGGGTGGGTGCCCACACCTCAGTCCCTACGGAGCAGCCAAGCTCTCCTGCCGCTGTGCACCAGAGGGCAGTGGCACACACACACACTAGGACATGCTCTGCAGTACATTAAAAATTATTTAAATTGTTTTAAAAAAGCTTTACTCATAAACCAAGGCATAAACTCTAGACCTTATAAGGATGGGGTCCATGCTGAGGTGGGATGTCACTGTTGAGTGGTAACTGGTGGGTTGTTTTTTTGGTATGTTTTGCTCAAAAGAGTATAATTAGAGTTTTATTGACAGGCAATGGCATGCTTTCCCATGTTTTAACCTAAACAACAGGTAAGAAGGTTTTGTCAACCCCCCCCCGCCGAAACACTTTGTAAAGGACAACAAAATTACCTTTGAACAGAAGTGATCTAGGTTTGGGAAAGTTATGAGCACATAAAAAAATTAATAATGGAAGCTTGTAACATCTGTAACTATAATGGATACCAGGAAATCTGTATTAAAATAATATATAAATGATACTGACATCATCTATAACTATGTCTTCAAGTAGGACCCCAGCCTTGGATCTTTTTGCAAAGCAGCACGTGTTCCTTACCTCTCTGCTAAATGATTTCTTAGCAGCATATTCCATTTTAAAAGCAGTCAAACCTATCTTTATTTAAAATGAGTTATTCCTAGTTTGGCTTATGGGCTCCTGGGCTGTCATATCATTGTGGTAGAGGAAGAGGAAAGAAGAGCAGGTGGTGGTCCTGGAACACCGATGTTAACATGCAGTCCCCACCCTGACGGGATGCTGAGAAACACTCTGGCAACTATTCTAGAGGGAGAGGGAGAAAGGGACCCCTCTTTGCTTGCTGACTCAGCCTTCCCCTCTGCAGGTTTTGGGTATGCCTGTGTGAACGAAGAGGTTGGAGGGACAGCTGTATGCCAAGGTGGCACCACAGCCCTGATTTGCTGCTCTGCTCAGGGTTCAGAGAGCACTGAAAGGTCTTACTTTTAGCTAAAACACTTGAATGTATTTAAGACTTCTTTTCTGTTTTTAGCTGCAGAAAGGCAGTAGCTTAAACCAAAGAAGCCAAACACTTTTTTCAGTTAAAAATAATTGAACCAGAGGAGGAAATAGAGATGATGAAATCCAAAGCAACTCTAGAAACTATTCACAGAATTTTTTTTTTTAAATTTTATTTTTATATACCATTCTGTTTGTTAAAAGTTTGTGTTGGCCAGTTCAGATGTACTCTTTTTCTTCTTTTGTGTGGCGTCTGATAACTTCCAGCTTAATGTGTTTTGGAACAGCCAGGGAATATTTTAAGTGAAAAAGAGATAAATAAATGGACCCTAAACCCAGGCAGAGTTACAGCTATTCCAGACCATGCTGAGGCACAGCTCGAGTTTACAAACAAGCCTGTTATCAGTGTGATGTACTTTTCAGTCCAGAAACACTTCTAGATCATTAGAGTGGACTTCAGTGTATGGATAGGGGGATGGACTTTACTCAAGCTGTGCTGCAGGATGGCTGCAGACAGTGGAACGTGCATTCCAGGCTGGTTTTCCTGACATTTATTCAGGTGTCGTGAATTAGAAGAGTTATTCAGTGTAACGTAACTACTTTGATCATGAACTGGTGAAAATAAAGGCCACTTCAGTAAGGTCAATTATAGCTCTCTGTCCCAATTTGCAAAACTGGTTTGAGGATACACACTTACAGTACTTGGATTACTGCTGAGCTTCATTCACTTGTTACATTTTGATTGCTTAGCAGGAAAATATATATAAAGTCATACTAACTCTATTTTAATACTGATCACTGGATAATGTTATAACTCCTTTTCAGAGTAACATACAGCATCACCAGTTCTGGAGTTGCTCATTTGACACTAGTTTCTAAGCCAGCACAAACAGGGACTAGATTAGTGATGGCAACTGAAATGTAAACAAGTTATCTGAGAAGCTCAGCTCTCCATCTGCCTTTTTGTTTTCCCATCACCTCTGATTAAGAGTATTCGCTTTCCACTTCTGATTCTGGGAAGAACATTGATTCCCAGTCCT